AAGCAATTATTATGATTATTATTATTAATAATCAAATGGTCCTCAAACTAAAATCACAGCTTCCACCATCTCGCAATGATAATTAGCATAATCTATTTCTAAAAACTCTATAGCCATTTACAGAATTAATCTTTTCACACTTCTCTTTGAATTCCCCCACAAATTCATTTTGACACCTATTCTCACCTGCTGTGACCTTTCTTATAAGCTCTTTCTTTTGTTCTCTTTTCCTTCATATTCCCACACCCTTTCCCTCACTCACACTTGAAAAAGGCACAGCAGTCAAGAGTTTTTTTTTCTTTCTACTTTTCAGTGTGAAATTCACTGCTGCTTTTCCTTTGCAGCTTGCATACTGACATAGCTCCCCACTTGAACTACAATGTGAAAGATAGTGATGATTTAACACAAAACTGTTCACATGGGTTTTCTTTGAGTGCTCTGGTTTCCTCCTACACTCTAAAGACATAGTGGTAGGTTAATTGGCTTCTGTGAAAATCGGCCTTGGTGTGAATTTGTGTCTGTGTGCCCCGCAATAGACTGGCTTTCTGTTCATGGTGTACCTTGCCCATTGCTAGTCGGGACAGAGGCCAGCTCCCACATGACCAATACAGCAATTAAAAAATGGATAGATGCATAAACTAAAATGCTAACCCAAGCCCATCTTCTGAGAAATCCACAGTAAACATAGCAGGCTTAGATGTGTCATCTGTAGCATAAGGTTCAACCTGTGTTTTGAATCTGTACTTTCATTGACTGTGAAACTTGGAATTCTTCAATTGTTCACTTTTGATTAAAGGGACATTGACTAACATACGAGTATGTAAATAGCCAGCATCTACAGTATACAACCCTGCATTTTACAACTGGCAACCCACTAAAGCTAAGCAGATGTGAACCTGGCCAGTACCTGGATGACAGATCTCCTGGGAAAGCTAAGGCTGCTACTGGAAGAAGTGTTAGTGGGACCAGTAGGGAACACTCACCCTGCAGTCTGTGTGGGTCCTAATGCCCCAGTATAGTGAAGGGGATACTATACTGTTAAAAAAAAGACACCATTCTTCCATCCTGACTCTCTGTGGTCATTAAAAATCTCGAAAGTAGTAGGAGTGTTACCCCAGTGTCTTGGCCATTGTTTCCCCTGGCCTTGACCACCTAATAAAAGCCATCGGTGAATTATGACTCTGTTCTCCTCCCCACTGATACCTGATGTGTGGTAAGAGTACACTTTAGCTGCTTTAGCATCATCCAGGTGGGTGCTTATATGGGTGGGCGCACCACATATTGATTGTCGGGGAAAATAAAAGAGCTATGTAAATGTAAAGAATTCTTAATCTCATTAGCCTGCTACCTACATAACTCAATAAATTAACCCTTCCAGTGTACATTCCAAACACTGGGACTTCACAAAATAGTTAAACTTTTAACACAGCACACCCTGATTAAAGTTATTTTCCATATATAATGCACATATCAGCATGAAGGCTTACTTCTCTATTGATGTCAACACACCAACAACTTTACAGCAATCATTTTACATAATTAAATAAATTATAATGACAACTGCTAAAATGTTATCTACTGTATGAACTATCACCTTATTAGGGTCACACAAAAATCAGGAGTGGTTACTGATAGCACCAAGAACAATCAGGAGAACTCTAAACAACTTGAATCATTTAAAAAAGTATTTTGACAAAGCTGTTTATACTTGCTTGTGTACTACAGACTGAATCTTATTAAGCTTAAAATGTGTTTAAAAACAACAAAAAGAAACAGCTCTTACTTTACCTAATACTTTGAGTATACAGACCATTGTGATACATTTCACTTCACAGTAAAAACATATCTATACTAAAACAGACATCAATCAGCATTTTCTCCAGTAACAAAAAATGACACATCTTAAAGGTAAGGAGCCCTGAACAAGTTTTCATTTTGCATGTTCCTATGAGTAAGAAAATATAGCTTGCATGAAACAATGTAGGTTTTCAGCATAATGCCTTTGTATCTTGATTTAGAAAGTCATTGTTCCATTCATGATTCTGTTATAAAAAACCTTCTCTAAAGTTCACAATCCATTCCTTATAATAAGGTTTAGGGTGTCAGCATAATGGCTATTGATCACTCAGCTGGTTTCAAACACTTGAAAGATTTTAAACAAAACTTGTAGGTTTACTTATACTATAAAATATAGTTTTGTGAATTGTGAGAAATTGTGAAATTAGAAAAGGATGCATTCAAATTTTGTTAAACTTTAAAAACCTGAATGCTCAAAATGAAGTGATCTCAAAATTTGGTTGAAGAACCTTTGGCAGCAATCATAGCCTTAGGTCACTACCAACTTCACACTGGCGTGGTGCAATTCTTGCCTATTCTTCTTGGTAGATCTGCTCAAGCTCTCTCAAGGTCCTTGAAGATAGTTTATGAACAATAGTTATAAAGTCTTTCTACCGATTCCCAATAGGACACAAGTCAGGAATTTGACTGGGCCACTCATTTACTTTCTTATTCCTATGACACTCTCGTGCCTGAGTCATGCACGATTTTCGTTTTGTGTCAGACATAAATGATGTCTATCAGATGCTTTGTATATATATCAACAAGTTCATATTTATCTTGTCTGATCATAAAACCATGACATTGGTCTGGAGAATCAAGCATGTTGTTACAAACGTCTTGTGGATTTTAAAAGATTTTTCAGGGTGCCATCACTTCTAGTTTCATCATTGCCAGGCTACTCGGTCTGGACAGGCTAATCTGTGTGCCTTGCACTTCACTGACCTCACCATGCTTTAAGAGATATTAAGGGTCTTTCAAATGTTTTTGTATACCCTTCTCCTGTGCCTTTATTCAATTTTATCCCTAAGTTGTTTGAAAGGTCCTTGGTCTTCACAGTTGAATCTTTGCTTGAAATCCACTTCCTGACTGCCTTAAAGAGACATGTGTATTAAAATATATTAACTAAAATTATCAGACACAGAAGCCTATCATCTAACTGCATGGCTCATTAAGGTAGTTTTGTAACCCTAAATTTTAGTTAATTTTAGTGCTGACTTTGAAGACGCTGCTTCACTAGGGTACATATGCCAGATGACAAAAACTGACAGTGTGAATTTCAGAATGTAAAGCATGTAGCATATTGTATGGTGTGCAGTGATATGGCTGATTCTTTCAATTTAGGGCTGCAGGAGAACCCAACCCAGCCCTTGCAAGCAACAGACGCAAGGTGGGGTTATTCTTCTTCTATGAATAGCATATTCACCAACAGAAAATGGAGAACTATTATTTTAAGAAGATTATATATTATTACTGCTTTTCATAAAAAAAGTTAAAACACTTCTAACAGGGCCATCTTTATAGAATGAATGTTGGGGCTAAGTGCAAGGAGCTTAAATATTAAATGTTGCACAAATAACTGACACCTGCTCTATGTGATAGATAAAATTTACTTACAAATATCCCTGTATGCTCAAGTGAATGTCTACATGAGTGTGTCGATATATATTTATTAGTGCACAGCTGTAGCCTTCCATGACAATCACAAAAGAATTAAGTAGTACCTTGTGCTTTAAAAAACTTGTAAAAAAATCTAAGTGGTTAAAATTAAAAGATGGTTAGGTTCAGAATGGTCATTATTAAAGACACAGAAAAGTCAGAGAAATTATGCAGAAATATCAATGTTTGTGAAATTGCAACATACATGCAAGGAATACTTCCTAAGCAAGTCAAAACAACTTAAATTGCATTAGCTATTCAATGTCATCTGTCCATGTTTGCTATTAACAGATTTCTCCTTTATTATGGAATAAAGTTTGGTAAAACATATTTTAAACAGAATACAGCTGTAGTTTTCACTACAGCTGGCATAGAGGCTTAATGTATTGCTGCATCTGTGCTGTAATCTTCAATATTCTTGCCCCATGGGTCCCCTGTTGCCAGTGCTGGCCAAGTTGGACTACTTGGGGCAATAAACAGCAGATGTTACTAGCATAAAAAAACAGGTTTAAAGCCTTCCAAAAAATAAGTTTAATCCTTATTTGATCCACTGTCAGCTCCACAGCCGAAACTGTTTTAGTTCTTCTAAATTCTAAATATTTCTGCAAGCATTCACAGTTGATCCTCACTAATACTTCTAAAACAAGAGGCTTGAAGAGCTTCACAATCATTCCTCTGTGACTAATATGTCCCTGCAGCCACTACCTTTAAAAATGTGCACAAGCCAACTGACCATTAATATCTTCAGCTGGACGACAGTGAACAGGATGCAGTTCAACATTACAAGGGCATTGTGAGTCACTGTCAGTAACTTCACTGCTAATTTTTCCCTATAGGGTACTAAGTCATAGAGCAATCAAGTGAGAGAATAGAATCAAGTGAACCTTAAAGGTGAAGCTTCAAACAAGCATGTTCAAGTATATGAACGATAACAAAAAAAACATTTCTTTCATTCATATTAAAGCTGTCAAGACCAATTGTTTTATTTTTTAAAAAGTCAAGAAAAGGGCAAAGAAGTTAAGAAAGAAGCATTTCATTCTATGTAAGGCTTGCCAGATACACTTACCTCAAGTGGTTCTCTTTAGAATAAAGAAACAATAGCACCAACAAGCAAACCTCACACTGTACTGGGAACATGGAATAAGTCAAGGAAATCTTTGATAAAGTATTTAGTCTTTAAGAAAAAAACATTAAACAATATATAAAATACAAATTCTGGCTCAATAAGCAGTAAAAGATTATGTTTGACAAACAGACGACTGACAAAGTTATCATTAATGACACCCTTGGTTCTGCTGGAACCAAGACAGAGATGGAGATGGCACTGGTATACCTAACACAGCTCTGCAGGATTATGGCCTATTGAGCATTGCTCAGTGCTACCAAGCATTGTCACTAGAAGCTCTGGCCACAGTCTGGAGTGATACACATTGTAACCTCTGGGCTATAGGATTCATCAACAAACTGATGAACATAAACCAGGATATTAACTGAGTTTTTATTACCTTGCAAAGGGAGGATCTTCACTTCAAATTCCTCCAGCTGGCTCAGAGCACTGATCAAATCAAGCTCTTCTTGAATGACAGGTGGGCAATCTGCAATCAGCTGTAAGCAGCACCTTTAAGAACAATGGGGAATATTATTTTGAGCATTATTTTAATCAAAACATGATATAACTGTACCTAGCAGTAAATCATCTTTTAAATCTTTCTCTTTCTTCCAGACATTACTGAACTTTTAGCTATAGCTTGAAGAGTGTTTGATCTTGTTTTTGTTGTCATTTCTTCCACCACTCCCTCAAGTTCTCCCTGTGTTCATGTGGGTTTTCACCATGTACTCCAGTCACTTCCCAACCCCTCGAAAACATGATGACAGAGCTAATGGAGTCTCTAAAATTCTAAAAGTCTGTCTGTATCTCTGGCTGGCTTGGCATTCGATCCAGAGAATAGTTCCTCTTGTCTTGAGCTATATTCTTCTGAGATAAGTTTTGGGTTGCCACAACCCATTACTATCAATAAACAGCTTTCTGATGATGGATGGGTGGATAGATATGTGATTAGACACTGTAGTTTCAGTTTGCTCCCTTAGAAACCACAAGCACGTATTTGTAAGCTCTCCTATTCAATAATGTCAGGCTCTGTGCTCATGCCTCATTAACTGTCGAGATTTCTGATATTAATGGCAAAGCTGTTAGTAAATTAAACCTAAGTTTGGCCTCTCGATCTAACACATCTTGTGAACTTTCTGTTCTTGGTAAAGGAATAAGACGTTGTCATAAAACAACATGGTCATGTAGGAATGTTAACTCAGATGGGCTGCTCTTGTGCCAGAGGGAGGTTAAGCTCACAGAACCATAAATCCTGCAAACCATAAAGAAGGTTCTGTGATAGAAAACAGACGAATGTATGTTAAAAATACTAGTTCATGCCAAAACAAATGTAAACCATTGATTTACCATTAAGATAATACCATGGCAACCAGAAATTTAACCAGCGGTATTGGAATTCAGGAAGCAAGGTAACATCTATGTGAATTCTTGTTCTGTCTTTAATGAAATGGCTAATTATAATAGAAAAAGTGAAACAAACAGTGATTTGATTGCAGCAAGCAATGAGAAAGGATTTCAGATTGAAAAAAAATCAAAATCCAAGCCACATGGACCAGTTGTATCTGTTGAAATACCAAGGGAACCCTCTAGTGGAAGAATGAGGTAAGACACCTATTGCTCATTGAGAACAAAATTAAATTTCATACAGAGAAAAAACATCTCTACTTATTGGGAAAAAAGCTAAGCAAAATACTGAATGCATCACTACATGATAATCTTAACTAAAAAAAACAGTTACAAGAACAGTAAACTCACTAAATTAAAAAATACAATATTATTTACCTCACAGTAACATACTACGCCTGTTCAGGGTCAAATGAAAGGGCAAAACCAAAGCAGGGACTCAGACATTACAAGTTTCAAGTTTTAAAAATTCAATTCAAATTCATCCTGTCAAGACAATCACAGACCCCTAGAGGCATATTTAAACGAATATTTAAATATTAGATCTAAACTAGCCTGCCAGAACTCCAGTAGACAGGGCAATAGAATGTCTTCGATGAAACTGATAGGTGGAAAGTACAGAAAAGTAATAAGAGTGAAGGGACCAAACTAAGCTCGAGAAGTGTCACTTCAGTCAAGAGTTGGCCTAGACTGGATCAAAGTTTGATGTACAGCTCCACCCTCTTTAGTCACTGTCAGACCTCCATTCAAGCCTGAGAAACACCAGACCAACAGTGTCTCGTCCATCCACACCACATACCCAAGGAGTCCCTAAAGATCAAGTGGTGGTCTATTTTCCCTTTATTCACAGCCAAAGCATAAGAGGAAGTCTCCATTTTGCAGACATTCTAAGAGGAACGGTAATTCACAATTATATTTGCTTGGGGTCTAAAGCTTGATACTGGTAGTGTAGAACATTACTTTGTAGCAAGATAATTCTGTCATTTCCATAATTTAATCCTCTGTACCTCCAACACATTGCATTGTTTTACCGTTAGGAATTTATTCCTGAGGTACCTTCCTTCATATGTCACACCTCTTCTCACAGGTTTAACTCTATCCTAATTCTTTCCCCCTTCCTTGAATTTGTGTTCGCAAGTACTTGTCTAATTATCACATTCACCTGATTATGTTTGCAGAGCAGATTTTTTATAAATTGGTTTTCAGCCTATGTAGAGAGGAATTCATAGTATACTCTAGGTCTTATGTTCAAAAGCACTTGCAGCAGGATCTAAGGTTTTAGTTAAATGTGCTTTTTCTCCTAGAATATGTGCATAATTGACTGGAGATTCAAGAAAACCAAAAACACAATACCATATGTTAACATATTACCGTACCATATTACAGTCACAGAGATGTATTCTTTTCTTACACTGCAATCTAAAAATAAATAATCTTACATAATGCAGTATGTAAAAGGTGCTTACTGTACATTTATATAACTATTGAGCAAGAAATACAAAACAAAAACACTTAAATGTTTTTTGCTGTAAAGCTGTAGCGGGTACATACAACCAATTACAAATAAATCAGAGACTACTGTGCAATTGAGGTAGTGGACAAGCTGCAAAGGAATAGGGTGAGGGATGTATGGAGCAGCATGAGAGAGATCACTGGCTTCAGACAGGCTGGGGGTGCAATGGAGGGGAACCTTAAGATGGCCAACGAGTTGAACCAGTTTTTTAACAGGTTTGATTCAGCGTCCTCTGTGGCTCGACACCTATCCCCCCACAGCCACACGCTCCCTAACCCTTCACAGCTGCGACTGCCCAACACCTCTTCCACCCCCCCACAATCATGGCCGCCTACAGCTACAACCCCCGACAGGTACTCACCCCCCATCCCCCACAGCTGCCACTGTCCAACACCTCTGCCATTAACACCTGCAGCACTGAAAGCGCTATGAGCACCATCCCCCAGGCCAGGCTGACCATCACGGCTCCAGTGACTGTTCAACCTGAGCCTGCACTTGGAGAAAGTCCCTGTGCTCTGGAAGACATCATGCCTGGTCCCGGTACCAAAGAAAGGGCACCCCTCTGTCCTCAATGACTACAGACCAGTTGCACTGACTTCTCATGTCATGAAGACACTGGAGAGGCTGGTCTTATCCCACCTGAGACCCCTGGATAGCTCAACACTGGACACCTTACAGTTCGCCTACAAGCCCAGTGTTGGTGTGGAGGATGCAATCATCTACACACTGCAAAGGGCCTACTCACACCTGGACAAGGCTGGCAACACCATAAGGATTATGTTTTTTGACTTCTCTTGTGCCTTCAAGACCATCCAGCCCTTACTTCTAAGGAGGAAGCTGGAGGAGATGCAAGTCGATGCCTCCATGATCTCGTGGATCACTGACTACCTGACAGGCAGACCACAGTCTGTGAGACTTCAGAACTGTGTGTCTGAACAGGTAGTAAGTAACACAGGGGCTCCTCAGGGGACGGTTCTTTCTCTGATCCTCTTCACCCTCTATACCTCGGACTTTAAATACAACTCAAAGTCATGCCACCTGCAGAAGTTCTCAGATGACTCTGCAATTGTGGGATGTATTAAGGGTGGGCAGGAGGAAGAGTACAGAGGACTGGTTAGCAGCTTTGTGGAGTGGTGTGGGGAAAACCACCAGCAATTGAATGTAGCAAAGACTAAGGAGTTGGTGATAGACTTCAGGAGGAAGAGGGTCCAACTTACTCCTGTCTACATCCATGGGAGTTGCGTGGAGATGGTGGACTCGTACAAGTATGTGGGAGTGCACATCAACGATAAACTGGAATGGTCTAAGAAAACCGACGCCATTTACAAGAATGGTCAGAGCCGACTTTACTTCTTGAGGAGGCTCAGGTCCTTCAATGTTTGTAGCAAAATGCTACATATGTTTTATCAGTCGGTGGTGGTGAGCGTAATTTTCTACACAGTGGTATGCTGGGGCTCTGGGATTAGAGCAATGGATTCTAACAGGCTGAACAAGCTCATCAGGAGAGCAAGCTCTGTCATTGGGTACGACCTGGACCCCCTGGAGGTAGTGGTTGAGATGAGAATGGTGTCCAAACTAGAGGCCATCATGGACAATGTCTCCCATTCCCTCTATGACATGCTTGTAGAAATGAAGAGCACGTTCAGCAATAGACTGATTCATCCACGGTGCGACAGGGAGCACTACAGGAGGTCATTCTTGCCTTCTGCCATAAGACTGTACAACACATCCACCTTGCGCCTGGGCAGAGGCAACATTGACAGTGACCTGTTTCTGGACTGAGCAGTAAACTAATACATCTGTTCTTTTTCTCTTCCCATTTAAAACCGTTTTTGTGCAATATATGCCAGGGACCTGTGCAATACTTTTATATTTATAGTCATATTGTGCAATACGACTTTTTTGTGTACTGTTCTGTTCTGGTATGTTCAGTTCTTTGTGTGTTCTGGACTGTGAGTAACTCTTCTTAGTGCACTTCTCACTGTACTGATCGTATTGTATGTATTGTATTTTTATTATTGTATCATTCGTTAGACTGTGGCTGTGTTGTCTGTGTTAAGCTGCTGTTGCACTGCAATTTCCCTCAGGGGATCAATAAAGTATCTATCTATCAATAGTCCAATTTTAGAACTTGTGGACCAACAAGTTCACGGTCTTACCCTGCATGTGCTGGAACCCTGTAATTTCATATTTAGAAGGTAATAAGGATTGCAAACATAGAACATGAGAACTATCATTAGTAAATCACAGGTACCGCAAGTAAATCAAGTTAACTGACTGACAGTGAAAAATTAATAATCAAGTATTGTTCTACTGTACATGTTTAATGTATGTACAATCACAGAAAAGTGTATTGATTCAAAAAGGAAAAAAAAGCAGATTTTCTCTCATTCTAGGTGTGCTATTGAAATACATATTGCACATGTAAAACAAATATTTAATATCTAACAAGTTTAAAAGTAACATTGTGTATACTGTATCAATACAGATGGAAGCGGTCATAAAAGTATTTTAATAAAATACAGAATATATGCTTGAATCACATGGTAGAATGTAGTGCCTAATGAATACGCCTAGTTATAATGCTTAATGAATATCAATATCAATGCAAGAAATTTAGGTACAGTACATATTCATTAGATTGTATATAAATTCACAGCCATAATGCATTGTGTAGCAAAATATCAAAGACAACCCCATTCGGCAAAAATAGAATATTATAGCTAATTTTCTAAAATCACACAGTGATAAAATGGAGAAACTTTGCAATGCTTAAAGAGCTTATTGTGGTTCCTTCGTGTTTTAGCTACTGATTTCTGTATTTTTTTTAAATCCGGATTATTAGTTCTAATGGGAATGACATGTCCCCCACATAGGGAAAAGACTGAACTAATTTAATTTAACATAACTTGTGCACAATAGTACCTTGAGAAATTAACCATCTTCAGAAATCTCTTTCTAGCTTTCCTAACATTAACAGACATGTTTGGGAATTGGAATGGTATTGCTGACAGTTTAAAGACCCTCTGGCAAACAAAGCAAATGATTCATAACAGAAATAATGCACAAATTTACATAAATACATGCAGTAAAGTGTGTTAGTCTGTTCTTTGTAAAACAACATTCAGCAAACCAGAATTTATGGATTAAGCTAGAAGCATGCTGTATTGGGGTATGTTTCAATGTTCGCCATTTAACAGACTTATTTTTTCTGTTAAAATAACTGAACTGAATATATGTTTGTAACTGAATATAATACAAAGGAAATGACCAGTATTCTAGTCCACACTATTGTTACAAATGGGGGGCTACGAAATTGGTGAAAATCAGGAACTGACTGAGCGGTTTAGTCAATAAGTGAACTAATTATTAATAATCACCAGCTTGATATCTCCAGAATATAACCAAACACGTGAGGCATGTGAATTCTTTGTTCTCCAGCACAGCTTTGGTGAAAAGAGAAATAATGCAGGGACACTTGATTAAACAAATATTTGTTGCAATGACAAAACACAAACTACACTGCACACAAGTTACTCTATGCACAGCATTTACAGACAACACATTTCAGAGGCAGTTAAATCCTCTTCTCTACACCCTGGATGCCACACAATCGCAATGACAACAGACCCTGTATCCCTATTCATAAAAATGCACCCTAAGTAGGAAAGACATTTCAAACTGAGGTATCTTTAACCCAGGAATCCCAAGTTCCCTAAAAACACAGAATAGCAAGCTCTCTCTAGCAAGGTTCAAATGCTTAGCATCAGTCAGGTTTTGTTTGGATGATCATGAAGTAGGGGCTCTCGCCTAGCGCAAGCTTCAAGTTCCAACTCCTCCAGACTCTTGTCTCTCCTCTCTGTCTTCCTTGTTCTCCACTGTAGTCTTAATGTGATATTATATTGTGTGTTTCTGTACTGCACATTGACAATCATTAACCCACAACATACCTTGGCATACCAAGGTAAACCGTACAATGGTTTCTGATCAAGGGACCCCCACATCTCGACCAACATCCTCTCTGCTTTGAAGCTAGAAGATAACGTTTCTCTCTGCCTAGTGTCACAAACGTTATCTAAAATATAAGAGACACTTCCCAGTCACCTAAATATTTACCTCACATTATACATATCTGACACCTTTGACCAAAAACATTTCAGCGAATTATTTTTCAGACACATGTGACTTTACACACTGCTAACCAACATCTCGCTGCTTGCACATATCCAGAATGTGACTGATGAAAGATAATGGTCAAACAACCTGCATTCACTTAATTTAGAAATGCTTAAATACCTATAAACACCACATAGCCTGCTCACAATTTACAGGGAAATACACAATGTCTTATCTCATGTGATGACTGTCAGAGAGGTCTGGGAAGGATTAGGCAAGGTACAAACCTGTTTCAGAAAACATTCGTAAAGCATTGTCACCTTTATCATTTTTCATCAACATGAAAGAAATTAAAATGGAGGGAACTTTTGTTAATCTATTAAAATATACAAATGTTATGGCCTTTGTAAGAGTATTTACTGAGGTATATAGAATGTTGGAAGAAAGCATAATTATTTTTGGTATCACGGTTCAGTATAGCAGCTTGAATATTAAGAGTAGGGGGAAAGTGGCCAGAATTGTTAATATTTCTATTAAAATAACTGGTCAACCATATAAACATTTTAAAGAGCTGTATTATATTGCATTTCAAAGGAAAGCTCAGCTTATTGTTGATGACCCATCCCACCCCGTCCATTCCCATTTTCAACTGCCACCTTCAGGGAGGTGTTTTAAAATGCCTGTGGCCAAGAAAAATGTATACAAGAAAGCTTTTGTTTTCTGTGCAGTCTAGTATAGTTAATGCAAAGTGACTGTTTTGTGTATGAGGCTATCAGGTTAGATGAAAGTGTAATATTGGCAGAGTGAGATATGTGTTTATGTATTCTTACATGTAAGCTGTTTCTTTTTAACACGTATTTACTGTATTGTCTATTGTTTGTTTTTAACATGTATTTATTCTGCTGGGTCGTATGATGTGCATTTCATCAAGCCCAGATGTTAAGCCACTAATCCATGTGTGTAAACCATCAGCATCGAGCTACAATAATTTCCTTCATGTACTATGCTGTGTATATTATTAAAATCTCTGATGAACAAAGAATGTATTCCCCTCAGCTCAAAGTAGGGGAACTAATGTTTAATGCAGAATTAATGGGGGCCAAAATAAGGGTACAAAATCTTCTATAGATCAAGATCATTAACAGTCTTCCATTTAAAAGCACAGTCCACTAGAACCACCCTATTATGAATTTTATACAGAAAATCTACATTTCAATTATGGACATACAATTATGTACATACAAAATTAAAACTACAGCTCTGACCATTGATTAACACCAGAGATCAGCATCCGTTACCATCTCAAGAATATAATTTCATATCCTGGCTGTGACCTTAAGCAGCTCAATGTCAAGCACCATTAACAGATATAGACATCTCCTTTATAGCAATTAAAAGATAATAAAAAAGATTAATAATACAAACACTAAACCTATTCTTAAAATTTCTATTATATTTCAATATAGTTTCATAGAAATTACAATGGTTTCCTTGTTTTGGAAATGTAGGATTTTTTTTTTGCTGAATATTCCTAAAATCCAGACCTTCTTTGCTGAGTGTCAGGCTTCAAAGGACACTACAAAATAATACCAATTTCACAAAATTTAATTTTTTCTTTCTTACCATATGGCTCATGCATAAAACCAAGCAAAAAGTCTGTAAACAGCTGAACATGGATAACAGCCTGATTATTGCTTTTTTTCCATATTTGCGGATGATAAGGTTTTAAATGTAATAAAGCAGAGTAAAACCATTATATTTAATTAAATGTGAATTAACTACATATGGGTTTTCTCCTTTTTATAGTGTCTTACTAATAACGTAAGCTATAAGCCCCACTATACTGAGAGGCAGTCAATCACTGCAAATGCTATTGATTACAAAAATGTTTGTAATGTTATAATAAGTAGAGGTGTTAGATACAGAATCCACATTAAATGAGACGAAAAAGTTTCTAACAATAAACGGGGCAAATAAATAATAGCAACTTGCTACTGCATTTAAGATAATAGCAATGTCTATTTTTTAATTTTTGTGATTTAGATTTTGTTTTGCATGAACACCTGAAATTACGGCTTGATGCTCCACTTCATAAAAGAGAAACTACAAAGTAATTTACTTTATTTACGGGGGAGGCATGGGAATAGAACTTGGCTGTTCTGCATTTTCAGGAGTGAAACACTTATAATGCATTAATTAGTATGCAATATTATTGGAGATGCTTTTGGTTGCTTACATGCTTTCAGCAGTAAGTGTGGAATAAACAGATGATGTACCTGGACAGGTACATCTGAATATTCAGCACTAGTTGCAGCCTACTAGGCCATGAAGTGCCTAATAAAAATATTATCGGAAACTAAACCTAATTACATATGTAATGCAATTTGTAAAACTGAAATTATTCATGAAAACTTAAAAGTAATGAGACACTCCTTCACTGTAATTTACAAAAACTAACCCAATTATCGGTCTTCACCAACCTTGACCTTGCTGGCCAATAATAAAAGGTCTTTATTTTCTTTTCTTGAAATACAAACAACCAATAGTGTTAAATTTTCCTTAGCCAGCAATTACAATAAATTTCAGACAAGCCTGCTGAGACTGCCAACTACGTTAATCGATCGTCTAATTTGTTATTACAAAAGCTATAATCGCTGAACTGAAACCCACAAAAAATAATAAAATCTAACTTGATTCCTTCAAGCAATCTTCTACTGATTAAAAAAAGAAATAAAACTTGCAAAGAAGAACTTTTAAAAACTCCCGGAGGGTAGACCTAAAATTGAGTTTGTTATTTTTTACATAAAATAATTACCTGGCCAAGTGCATGCAGTTGTCAGTCAGGGCTGTGGAGGAGTTGAAGTATTCCCTTGCTGCTGCCAGAACCAATTCAATGCTCTTCTTGTAGCTGACCTTGGACTGTGCTTTTCCTCGGAAGGCCACATTAACGGGAGTGTCCTGCGATAGAGCACTGCAGTGCATCATCTGCCCAGCCAGGCGAATATTTTCCAGGCGGCTGGAGCACAGCAGGCTTTCTGTAAATATCTGAAGTTGAAAAGAGTGTCAGAATTACTCCAAGGGAAACTGAGCATTGCTGTAAGCTATATCATCACAGAAACTTTTTTTTTTTTACAATTTAGTGCGATAAATTGCAAACCACCCAAGAAAAACACATAAAAGAAAGAAAAGACAACCTGAACAAAATCGACACAATGTGAAAGTCATACTTCACTACTACAAATTCACCTCCATGAAGAGAAAGGTATTCATAACCAGAAAGGATTTGTTTCTACATCTCCATGGCAGATCTTCGGTCTTAAGTGACACAAAGGGGGGTCAAAAAACAGTTTAGAAACCTAAGCTGAGAAGACAAAAGGTTGTGATGGGTGCTGCTATTTGATTGTGCTAAATGTATTGTTTTTTTTACATTTGCACCTTTGTTTCAGTCAGAAATGTCGTAACTGTGGATTACTTCTGGTGCTGACAGACCTATGCTTTGGTCCTTAGAGTCTGTTTTTTTATGGGAGTATCACATAAGATAAGATTACTTTATTGGCCATATATAATTTCTTGTATTAGGAATTTGTCTTTTCGCATGGAATACAATTTGCTTAATGCTAGATAAATGTGAAGTGTTTGTTAGTGCATTCAAAACATTTGGCTTTTAAAATATATAACATATATATTTATTAATATATAATAATTTTAACCAATATTTAAAAATAATAAAGATTCATAACTTGGGTAATGTTTTCATAGAAAATTAAGAAAGATTATACCATAAATGAGTGGAGGCCATACAGCTAGTTTGACTGGAAGTGGCTAATTGATTTGAGGATCTCATCTTAATGTTTCTTTAAAGAAGCCAGCCATCACATTTAAGAAGTGGCAAGATAGCTTCTTCCAGGCTCAACAACCCAACAAACTTTACTTGTTCGGGAAAGAATACAAAATGGTGCCCTATCTAAAATGTTAAATGTATTTTATTTTTTATATTGAACATCATCATGCCGAAATATGCCAAAGGACATGTCTATTATGAATGTTGCTTGTTGGTTAAAAAAACTAACTTTTCTAAATCCATGCTAAATACCCCAAAATCCTGCACAGAAGGTTCTGTAGTTTAGTTTTAATTATCATCTCCACAATGTTATATGAAATAGCAGTATGACTTACCGTCCTGTAATTACTTGGTTCAAATTTATCATCCTTTCTGTGGATGGGTGTTTCATTATCACATTTTCAACTCAATGGGTATTTGTCTTAAGTGACTGTTTAAAGAATTTAACAGCCAATAAATAATATTACCCATTTGCATTAGCACAACAGGTGGTATATATTGTACTCAAAAGCTGGAGACTTATTAAGTTCTTCTAGTAAATGTAACACATATGTCTCTTTTATGCTAGTATTAATATATAGATTTCTTTTCTCAGCCTTACGTACAGTTGCAAGAAAAAGTTTGTGAACCCTTTGGAATTACCAGGATTTCTGCATTAATTTCTCATAAAAATGTGGTCTGATCTTCAACTTAGCCACAATAATAGATAAACACAATCTGCATAAAATAATAACACACAAACAATTGAACGTCTTCTTGTCAATATTGAGCAGATCACTTAAACATTCACAGTCGAGGCTGGAAAAAGTATGTGAACCCTTGTATATATTAACTGGTAGAACCTCCTTTAGCAGCAATAACCTCCACCAAACATTTCCTGTAGCTGCTGATGAGACTTGCAGAACGGTTAGGAGGAATTTTAGAGATCATTTAATTCGTAATTATTCCTCCTTACAAAACTGTTTCAGTTAATTGTTATTTCTGAGATTCCTCATCTCATGCTGTGCCACAGCATCTCAATTGGGTTGAAGTCTGGACTCTGACTCTGAATTGGCCATTCCAGAAAACGAATTCTGTTCTGTTTAAGCCATTCTGTTCTTGATTTACTCCTGTGTTTCGGGTCATTCCCTTGTTGCATCACCCAACTTCTATTAAGGTTTAGGTGACGGACCGCAACCCTGACATTCTCCTGTAAAATACCTTGACACAGTTTGAATTTATTTTTCACTCTATGATAGTAAGCTGTCCAGGTCCTGAGGCAGCAAAGCAACCCAAAAGCATGATGCTCCCTCCACCTTGCTTCACGGTTGGGATGAGGTTTTGGTGTTGGTGTGCAGTGCTTTTTTTCCTCCAAACATAGCAATGTGCGTTTCAGGCAAAAAGTTAAACTTTTGTCTCATCTGTCCACAGAAAACTGTCCCAGAAGCATTGTGGAACATCCAGGTGGTCTTTTCCAATCTTGAGAGGTGCAGTAAGGTTTTTTTTGGAGAGCAGTGGTTTCCTCCGTGGCGTCTTCCATTAACACCATCCTTGTTCAGTGTTATTCTTATAATGGACACATGAACAGAGACTTTGCTGTTACCCTAGGGTTCTTTTTCACCTACTTCAGCATTGCACGCTGCTCTCTTGCCATGATCTTTGCAGGATACCCACTCCTAGGGAGAGTAACAACAGTACTGAATTTCCCCCATTTGTAGACAATTTGTCTTACTATGTGTAGGGGTTTTGTGCATTTACTGGGACAATTATTAATTGTAGCAGTAAATCACAAAATGATTCTTCGATGGCTATTAGAAAATCAACCTTGTGGAACAACTCAGCAAAGCACACACGGATACTTATACACGAGAATACATTTACGTGCATATAAACACAACAGATTGTAAAGTGAGGGTTAGCAGAATACAAAAGGTATATACTCAATCACGAACAAATACAAATATCAAGAGATACATACATTCAGTATACCATTCATCTATACTGTTTCGTTAATGAGCTTTTCGATTACAACTTCTACACTAGATACTCAAAAGCAAGTAAATAACTCATATGAAATAAATTGACAACAACTGGGATTGAGGTACCAACTGAATTCTCGAGCTGCAATGTAGAATGTTGAATACTCATCCAATTTATGTGGATTCAGATCTCCTGCAGAGACAAAGGAACAGCAACAGACTGATGCTGTGTTCAAACAGCATCCTCTGGCTCAGTGCCAGTCAGTCCTGGTGCGGCTGGAGGTGTGAGAGTAAGAGGGAGAGATTCCTGTTGTGGCACGGTGGCAGTGCCTCTCTGAGGACCTGGCTAGTTAGTTCTGGCTGAACTAGCATGGTTTATGCACATGAAAAGTGACTGCGGGTCCCAGCAAGTCACACTCTTTAGACAGGAAGAAGTCCAGTTCGTTCCCGATGCAGTGCTAGTCCTGAATACTAAGATTCAGCTATCGACAGTTCCGACCGTAGTTCACTCGATCAGGCGAGCACTCTGGTGGGTTACCAGCGGTTCACGAGGCTTGCTGCTGGGCTAACCTTGGGCAGATCCTTTGGTTACGCGTGGGGAAACCTCCTTCTCGACTCTTAGAACAAGGTAAAGTCCTGGCACTCAGACACACTGGCCATCACGTGATTATCTGAGCTAAATCTGAGGAACAATGGTCGTTCATTGGTTGAAAGTTACACGGGCATTAGAGACCCATGTGGGGTTACTCCACTCTACCAGTTCCTGCTTAGCTGATCAAGGTGCAGGATGAGCAACAATGCTCTCTGACCTTAGGGTTGTAAACAACTTGGGATGAGTCTCTCCGTTGGAATCTCCCAGACAGAAAGGCACCAGAGATGACCATTCATTAAGGTAGCTGGAGAATCTCAGCGCTGGGAGCTGTTCCTTATAAAAAAACTCTATCAGACAGAAAAACACCTTCAATCTGAACCACATGGAATAGCTTCTCTTTGTCCAGCACCACAGAGATGAGGGAGAGAGACTGGCCTGGGGGATAGCAAACTTAATACCTTATTAATACGCATTTCCGCTACATGTAGATTGACAAACACCCAGGCCTTTAGAAACACTTTTGTAGCTTTTTCCAGATTTATGCATCTCTACAATTCTTCTAAGATCCTCTGATATTTATTTTGATCAGGGAATGGTTCACATGAACAGCTCTTTCTTGAAAAGAGCAGACTCTGTTAGTAACCAACCTTTGTGTGCCTTTTTTATAGGACAGGGCAACTCCAACCCACACCTCCAATCACATCTCATTGATTGGAACACCTGACTTCAATTAGCTTTTGGAGAAGTCATTAGCCTAGAGGTTCACATACTTTTTCCAACCTAGACTGTGAATGTTTAAATGATGTGTTCAGTACTGAACAATTGAAGAAGAAGTACAATTGTTTGTTTGTTATTAGTTTAAGCAGATTGTTTATTATTGTGATTTAGTTGAAGATCAGACCACATTTTTAGTAATTAATGCAGAAATCCAAGTAATTCCAATGGGTTCACAAACTTTTTCTTGCAACTGTGTGTTTTTGGTTTCTTCCTTTGTAAACACTCAAGTGAATTACTCATTTAATACATTAAATATACCCCTCCCATCTTAAGTTTTCCTATTGTCATCTCTGAGACTGTTTGCTTCATCTTTCACTGTTCATGTGAGTTTTAAATACTTTTTTGACACAATCCTTTTTCCACACTTTATAATGCTCAACACTCAGGCACAAAGAAATATGTACTTCATAACTGCTGTCTGTAATTTATATTTTAGAACTTATGTGCATGAAGGTCATAAACTTTGGAAATTATGTTTTTGATTCCATAATCACTATGGTAAATGTTCTAACATCTCACTGATCAGATGTCTTGCATGTTTGCCATTCAAAATGAGATTATATGGACTAAAAATGCAGGACATTGTTTTCAGCTAAAAAAATTGCAATCACTCAAAAAAGAAATAGCTAGACATAAAAGATAAAGATGATCTATTGCCACTTCCAAAACTGCTGATCAGTAGCTGCTATTCAAACACCATTGCATTTCAACAGTATCTTCTTTAACACCAATGTGGTGTCCCATAATGATGAACCCGGAGGGCCCAATATGAAAAAAAAAAGATTAAATAATATAAATGGCTTAGCTTTACAAAACTTTTGATCTTTTCCTTATATAATATACAAAATGCAGTATCCTGCATAATGCTACTATACAGACAGAAGTACAAACACATAAGTCAAAGTAAAATTAGTGAGGCATTTTTCTTTGGATGTTACTTGGAATCTCACAAGGGTTCCATTAGATGGCAGTACTCAGGAATAAAAATACTGTAGTCATATATTAATGTCAACTCAATATATGAAAGTTTTTATGTTTAAGAAACTTTCAAAATCTAAAGAATGATTTATGAACCATCCCTGAGCAATAGAAAAAGGTTTACTATATGCATTTTTTTATTCCTTGCTAGCCAGAAGCTATTTTTTCCTTCTGTAGAGAGGCATTTAAAAGCCTTGCATTTTATAATTTATGATTGGTTGTTTCTTTGCAACCTGATCAAATCTTAACATCATCTTAAAATGTGACTGACATTATTAGGTATTCTAGAATTCACTTGACAACTATCTTTTCTCAAGATAAAAATGTCAGCAAACTGAATAAAGAATGGAGCAACTAAGGAATAAACTAAGGAATTAACAGAATGGAAAGATCTAAGCTGTAGGCCATTCCAAAATAGTTCAATACAAAATAACATTTAAAGGTCTGCATAGGTTAATGGGTGATTTAGTTCAATGGTGAAATCAAAAGGCAATCATTTGCCTTCGCTTTCTTCCAATCTACAGTGAGTGATCAGGTTTGAATTTGTACGCTTATGTTTCCTATTAAATATCCTATGGCTATAATTTGAAAAATGATAATTTAAATGAGCAGCTGAGATGGTCTTCATTTTCAGTTCCATAATTATTCTATGAATATAAAAATAAATTAAATTTCTGAAATCATAGGAAGATGAGGATATCCACTGCATAAAAACAGAAAAAAGTATCATCTATTACTGTTAGAGAACATAATTCTTTGTCAGTTTACGCTTGAGGTCATGATCTCCATGTTGGTTTTTTGTCATTTTGAAAAGGGATAGTTATAACTTTCATGAAGATTCAAAAATACTACATCCAAAACACATTAGAAATTATGAGTATGTCATTTTCTACTCAAACAAAGAAGTGTTTTTTTTTTTCGTTTTGAAGGATATTTACAACATGAAATTTAGTCTCTATTTTCCAGGATGAAAAAGGTAGCAATCTGGCTTTTTTTTTGCTTAACAGTATTTTCTTTACTGAGATAACTTCTGGTAATCTGGAGGAATAGATACTAATACCATTAGATGCATACCATAACACTTTGCATATGGCTTCCTATGTCACTTTAATAGAAAATGTTGCATTGGAGATTTCAAATTTTCAATAAATTGTAAAAATGCAAATACACTCTCCACACTTCCTTACTTCATTAGATCACTATCTTTGATATTCAGTGTTGACTCACACAATTGATTCGAAGCCCTTAAGGTTGATTTTCACTAACAGAATAAAAAAGCATAAAGCACATACAACCAGACAAACTATAAGAATATTTGCATTTCATCTAAACTTTCTGGCTACTGCAACTGAGTAAAAGTCTGGCACCAACATCTAGTATGTGATTGAGAGAAATGGATTTGTATGTTTAGAAATAATATATAACTCCAGAAGGCAGTTGTTTTGAAAAATTAACAAGGATTATCAAAAGCAATAGGGAGCCTGTATTGGTTTTAGATTATTAAGCCAAAATTACCAGAAGAAATATAAGTATTACAAAAACAGTCCACAAGGATAGTGGAAAAAAAAAGTAAGCATTGAAAGTCTACATCAATACAAGATGCAAAGTGTCTGGCAAGAGTCTTCATTTAGAACACTAGTGTATTTTAGGTGTACTATTGTATCATATAATATATTTATATCAATGCAACTAAATGTAATCATAAATCAGACATTATACAGTACTCAGAATATTAGTATTTTTAAAGTTTTCATGTTATGGTTTTGGTAATGAATTATTTATCAAATAAGCTACCTATAATTTCCTGAAAAGGTAACAATGGTTTTATATATATACACAAAAATATATTTTACTTTTTTTGCTATTCATCTTTCTTTGTGGAGTTTCCACAAGCAGAAGGTGGTGGTGAGACACTCCAGAGATATGTATATGTGTTAAGACCTCATATGCATGACAGAATTAGAGAACTGTCCTGAACCGGTGTGAAGCCAATGTCCTATAGAAAGGTTCAGTGAGTAAACAGTCTAGTGCAATGCAAAGGAGTCAGACAGTCGGTATCAGCAAGTGACAGTCTCATGGGGAGGCTCCTCAAGTTTCCTCCTGAATTGATAGACCTTACTGTGACAGGAACACTGAGAAACCGGGTCTCGCGGTGAGACGCAGGCTGAGCGATTTTCTCACTGGCAGGTATGTCAGTACGGGGCTAATGGGATAGAGCCTTTCTAACCAGCTTGGCCCTCACTGCCATACCTGACAGTCATACCCAGCACTGCCAGGGGGACTCGGAGACGCTGGCTCTTGCAGTGAGATGGCTGGTTACATCAGGTACATCAGTAACCACGGAAGGGTCAGGTTCCAGTACAATCCTAGAGGCATTCAAGCAATGTAACAGACACCCAGCTCTAGAGAGAGAGTAGGGCTGTCTGAGTGAAAGCCAACTCACAGTAAAGGGTCCTCTACCATTGAGTGAGATGTGCTGGGAGCTTCGGGGAAGCTGAGTCTCATGGTAAGATGTCGTTGTAATGGAAGATGAATGGGATGAAACTCCCAGGCTAGAAGTGAGCGATTTAGGAGTAGACCACTCAGGTTGTGGAGAGCAGGAAAGCTGAAGAGTAGCAGCCTCAGTTGATTCCGTTTAGCCGGTCTCGCTCTTTACCTATCTTCCTTTCCTTGTGAGAGCCTTCCCTGCTCTCAGTAACCTTAACCATATGTATCTAGGAGCCACCTACCCCTAGACATTTCGCTCCTATCCCTGGAACCATTAGTAACCTTGTGTCTCAACATGAGACTGAGTTTCCTGAGCTTCCCCTGAAGCTCCAGACATGCCTCACTAAACCAGAGTGGATACAGAGAAAATCCTGTTGCCCTGCTTTCCCTAGACCAGGATGTGCCACAGTGCTCAATCCCCTTCCGGGACTGCACTACAACCTGTCCCTTCTGTGGTTTAGATGTTTCTCCCAGCCTCTCACCGAAAGACTTCTCACTGTCCCCCCTGAAAGAGAGGCTCTTACCTGCTCATCCCTCAATGACAAACCTGCCAGTGAGGAACTTGCTCATCTGGCGTCTCACCACCAGGCACTGTCCTCGTCACAGTGAGGTCTAGATATCTGTGTTCACTGGCTTCACAATGGTTCAGGTCATTCTCTTATGCGTATGTAGTCTTAACGTATTCCTGTGTATATATGGAGTATGTCACCAGCATTTTCTAGTGGCTTAACCCTTTATTTGACACTCTAGATACTACTCATTTCACCAGCATGTAGACTCAGATAGCACTGATGCTAATATGCAGGTGACTTGTTACTTTAATGTTAAATTGTCACCTTACAACCAATTAAAATATAAAGAATAAGAAGAATACAAGATGGAATGGGAGTAGCAAGAGTCTATAAAAATATGATAAAAATAAAAGATGAAGGTTTGTAAAGACATTAACACACCTGATAACATGTGTCTGGTTCCAGGCAGTTATACACATTCTGCTGCATATCCAATAAATCCTGGAGCAATCCTCTCCAGTGACCCTCACTTACAGGTGGATTCCTAGGAGCAAATCAATAATATAGTCAATCATTATACCTCTCTTTCGACCAACAACTCTATACTGCAAAGCTGACCACTTGCCAGAAAAAAATTTGAGCAGCAAAATCATTTCCCTGTTCATCTCTACAAATCTAGTGTAATTCATTTATAGCCCAAAGAAATACTTATAAGTTATGCATTAAAACAATGTTGATGAATATAAGCAAACATGCATACTCTGCATATGGAGAGCAAATACTCTGCTTCTATCTGTGCTTTAACATACTTGCGTCCAGTGTATCGGGTGAGCTTAACCATCAGCTGATAAGCTTCCTCACGGCTGGATTGGCTGGACTTCACAAATGAAATGGGTTTTTGAAGTCTGTGCTTCTCCAAAATCTCAGCAACACTGAACCAGTAAAAAACACAAGGAAAGGGTTTTCAAGGAAATGCAGATCCCAATAATAAACAAATACTGTAACAATAATAATAAGCAACACATGAGGAAAGTATATGCTGTTCCAAACAACTGCAGTTTTTTTTAAGACAGCAACACAGAATACAAACACAAGTCTCTCTTGACCTTTTTCCATGATCTATAAACCATATGGTGTGTTGTGCTTCTTTCCTAGGGATCTGGAGTTTCCAATGACTTTTACCTAAGCCTCATCAAAACCTGCTCACATTTTCCAGATGTTTTCATACAGTAACATAATTTGTTATGGGAACCAGATGGTGTTCTATGTAAAATTCATGTACTTATTTAGGTAATTATTAATGTTTATTTAGGGCACTTTATATAAAAACAAACACATTTCTATTCAGTTCAATTCAAAATACATAAGGGACAAAGCAGAATTACAAATCAGGCATTAAATAAGATATTATGTGCTGTACATTAAACATATTTTATAATCACAAGTCAGTAAAAAAATAGTGAATCAAAAACTATGGGGGGTTCAGCATATTCATATTGTTAGAAAATAAAAATGTACCAAGCAATAGGAAACAATTTGAGGCACCTGAGATATGGCAGATGTGTTCTTTTTTATTCTCTAGCAGTTCTGGAAAGACGGTGATAAATCGGAGACAAACTTGGACAAGACAAACCAATATTTATTAAAGATCAAATAACACTAAATAGGAAACACTAAATAGGAAATCTTAGTAGCTGAGCATAAAAAGAATAGGAGCATACTGTAACGCGTGTGAAGGCCATAAACAATATTAATTTTGGAACATAAACATACAGTATATGGCTGGTCTCGGTAATTTAAAGAAAAAATACAAACCAGTATTCCATTTCTCCCTAAACATTTTAAGCATCAAAGTCTTTAACTAACGTGATACCGGAGTCAACAAACATACTTTTAGAATTTGATTAAAAGGGAATATAATATGGAATCACGTATCTAAAGAAATTAATAACGATATAATTATATTCATGTACCGCAACACAAGAATAGTACACGCTGTACGATGTCTGTTGATAATGTTTGTAGAGCTTTTTCAACACTCCTCATGTGACCTTGCCGGTGGCGCTGTGGGTTAGGTTCCTGACTCCTACATCACACGTTGCGTGTTCGAATCCAGCTGAAGCCATGACTTTTTTTTTTAACAAACGTTTCTTTGAAAAAATAAAACGTTTCCCTGGTTCAGAGATTAAATAAAACTTCACTCGCACCAAACAAATTTATATTTCTAAATATCACAACATTTTAAGTCATTTTAATAACAATGAATAGTCACCTATGCGTTACAATATAAACATTTATACTGATTTAAATCGTGTTTAAATCGCCTTTATTTAAAACCCATAAATAAAGCTGATTTAGACTTTAAATTATTTTAAACTGTATTACAGAAGCACAATGCACAATGCAACGTAAATCGCTATTTTTCTCTTCTGCGTAATAATGTTCACCTCTCTGTCCAGCAAATTAATAATAGTAATAATAATGAACTTTATTGTATGCCTTTAAAGGTGGCTCCTCAAAGCCCTTTACAGGATAAAAACAATAACAACAATACTGTTAGTCTGGGCAAACGATTTTTATTATTTTTTTAAAAAGAAATACAAAATGAGATGTGTTCCGGCTTAGACATTAGCGAAGAGCATAACGAAGGTCATAAAGGTCATAAACTATATTAATTTTGGAACATCAACATATTATGTAAACTGTATGTTGCTATTATTGGTATTTTAAAGAAAAAATACTGTAAAATCCTGGGTTCGGTACAATGATTTAGGCATTCATGTGGCTCAGCTTTCACTGGCTCAAAAAGACAAAAAGAATAACGGACACAGCGCGAGCCTGCATTCTCTCCTCAGCCGTCCACACCACACTTTTCCCCGGGGTCAGATTTTAAATAAAACTTCACTCGCACTAAACAAATTACCACACACTGAACACTGAGCATGTTAACCCAAATATGTCTCACAATACTTTTATGGTACATTACTTTGCTAAAATGTATTTTTTTT